CAGACTTGCTTTTAAGTAAGTTCCCCTGGGGGGGGGGGGGGCAGGTCAATTTAAGCTTTACAGCAAAACGGCAGTTCAACGGGGTGGGGCCGCTCCGGCTGAAGGGGCCCGTACAGAAGTAACGGTCACTAGTTCAGGGATATTATGGTCTTTGGGTTCTGATTCCAGTGTGACCTTGGGCAAGAGACCTTCACCCAAATAACCTTATTTTTTAAATGATGGTATAGCATTGGATAACTTCTAAAGTCCTAATACCTCTAGAATCTTGTGATTCTAGGAATAACAGTGTAAGGGCACCAGCCTGAATGTAATCAATTTTAGACCTCCAGTAGGAAATAGGAAGTTTCTTTTCCACACCCCAGAGGTAACTGGCTTTTCTCTCACAGCAACAGCATCTCCAGTAATCCAACTGCTTGAAAAATTTACCTTCTCCTCCTTTTCATGATAATGTGTTATTATCCAATCATAACACATTACAATATAATTCTATTATAACCAATGGGAAATAACTTTCTCGTAAGAAGATGTGTAATGCGTCTTTCAAACTTTAAACCAGAAAAGATCAGTGTGTGTCGACTTGCAAAAACAATTCAGCTTCAAGAGAGCTGTGTGAGCCTGAAGAAATGCTTACCGTGCAGTCATTAGCCAAATGGCTTGTATATGAAATTGCTACACACATGTTCATTGCTAATGATTTCTTAACTTAATCTTCAGAGTGTAAGACTAAAACTTTTATGTCTGCCCTTTCTTATTTCAAATTCAAGCCATAGCCGGAACACAATAACCTTTGATTCTAACTCTTCTGTGAAGGACTCCCATATCATTCCCAAATTCCTAAAAGCACAATGTAAATAACAAGGCAAAGGTAATTTTCCATGTAACAAGTTACTGACCAATGGGATTCTTTAAAGAAGAGGGAGGCAGGCAGAAGAGGGGAGGAGACAAAAGAAAGTATCACTGAAATTCATTTTAGCCACAGTAACACAACTCCCCCCAGTTGTTTCTTATACAAGCATACCTCCTTTTAATGCTTTGTTGCATTTTGCAGATACCGCATTTTTTACAAATCGAAGGTTTGTGGCAACCCCGTGTCAAGGAAGTCTATCAGAGCCAGTTTTCAAACAGCATTTGTTTATTTCGTGTCTCTATGTCACAGTTCACTAATTCTCAAAATATTCCAAACTTTCCCATTGTTATTATATTTGTTACAGTGATCTGTGACCAGGGATCTTTGATGTCACTATTGGAGTTGTCTTGGAGCACTAAGAACTGCAGCCATGTAAGAAGACAATAAACTTAATCCACACATGTTACATGCCTCCTGACCGCTCCATTCACGGACGACTCTTCCCTGTCATTCTCCCTCTCCTCTGGCCTCCCTAATCCCTAAGACAAAACAATACTGAAATTAGGCCAACTAATAACCCAACAACGGTCTCTCAGTGTTCAAGTCAAAGAAAGAGCTGCACATTGTTCAGTTTAAAGCAAAAGCTAGAAATGATTAATCTCAGTGAGGAAGGCATGCCGAAAGCTGAGAAAGGCCAAGAGCTGAGACAGGCCGAGAGCTGAGACAGGCCGAGAGCTAGGTCTCTGGCTCCAGGCAGCCAAGTTGTGAACGCATAAATTTAAAGTGCATATATAAGTACATCAATGATAAGAAAGTGAAACAGCTTGGGCTGCCCGGGTAGCTCAGTTGTTTAAGTGGCCAGCTCTTGGTTTCGGCTCCGGTCATGAACTCAAGGTCTTGGGAACCATCCCCAAGGTGGGCTCCACGCTCAGCTGGGAGCCTGCTTGTCTGCTCTCCCTCTGCCTCCTCCTCCCAGTGCGCGCACTTCCACACGGGCTCTCCCTCTCTTTCTAAAATAAATAAATCCTTTTAAAAAAAGAAAAGAAGGTAAAACGACTTTACTGCTGGTAAGAATAAAGCTTTAGTGGTCTGGATAGAAGAACAAACCAGCCCTAACTTTCTCTTAAGAGAATGAATTAGGGGACACCTGGGTGGTTCAGTCCGTTAAGCATCTGCCTTCGGCTCAGGTCATGATCCCAGGGTCCCGGGACTGAGTTCCATGTCGGGATTCTTGCTCAGCACGGAGCCTGCTTCTCCCTCTGCCTGCTCTGCCTGTAGCTCTCGGTGCTTCTGCTCTCAATCTGACAAATAAATAAATATAATCTTAAAAAGAGAGAGAGAGAGAGAATGAATTAGACCAAAGCCTAATCCAAGAGCAAGGCCCTAACTCTCTTCAATTCTGTGAAGGCTCAGGGAAGTGTGTTAGGTGCTCAAGACAAGTCTGAAGCCAAGATGGGTCGATGAGGTAGAAGGAAAAGAAGCCGACTCCCTAACATACAGATGCAAGGAGAAGCAGCCAGTACTGACAGAGAAGCTGCAGCAAATCATCCGGAAGATCGAGCTAAGATAATTAATGCAGGTGGTTATGAGGGAGCAAAAGGGTAGCTGAAGACAAAGCATAAACTGATCCCTGCAACCTTCCCCCAGCACCCCCCTCTCCTGGGTGGCACATGCACGGTATTCTTCTAGGAAGCTCCCTACTGTCTTAAATTTAATGCTTTACTAGAGGGAAAAACCACCTTAACTTGACTATCGCCAAGGCAGGCCTCCAGAATCCTATAGGTCGTCTTCTTTAGCATATGGAAGTTCTTTTGAAAACCTCCCTTTTTCCTTACCTGCCCCAGCCCCATAGTGTATGATCAATTGCTCTTGAGAACCCCAGTGCAGCTCTTTCTGCCCACAGGTCCTCCCTGTGCTTTAATAAAACCACTTTATTTGCACAAAGACATGTCAAGAATTCTTTCTTGACCTTCGGCTCTGGACCCCTACCCCACCACACCTCACCTCTATTTCCAAAACTACATCATTTACACTAAACAACAGATTTTCAGTGTAGATGAAACAGTCTTCTTCGGGAATATGCCATCTAGGACTTTCATAATTAGAAAAGTCATTATCTGGCTTCAACACTTCAAAGGACACGCTGACTCTCTCATTAGTGGCTAATAGAGCTGGTGACTTTAAGTCGAAGCCAGTGCTTGCTCACCATTCCGAAAATCCTAGGGCCCTTAAGAATTAAGCTTAATCTACTCTCCCTGTGCTCTAGAAATGGAACCACAAAGCCTATAGAACAGTACCTCATCTGTTTACAACAAGGTTTACTGAATATTCCTAGCCCTATTGAGACCTATTTTAACCCCAGTTGAGACCTACTGCTCAGCAGAATATTCCTTTATTCCTAATGTTCCTTTCAGAATATTACTGCTCATTGACAGTATAGCTGATCACCCAAGAGCTCCAATGGAGACGTAAGACGTGATTCATGCATCCACTCTGCAGGCCATAAATCAAGTCGTCATTTTTACCTTTCAAGTCTTCTTATTTAAGAAATACATTTCATATGGTTGGAGCTGCCACAGATAATGATTTCTGTGATGGATCTGGGCAGAGTCAATTGAAAACTTCTTGGAAAAGATTCATCATTCAAGATGGCATTAAGAACAACCATGATTCATAGGAAAGGTCAAAATACCAACATGAATATGAGTTCGGAAGAAATCGATTCCAACCCTCATGGATGACTTTGAGGGATTCAAGACTCCAGAGGCTGAAGGAACTGCAGATGTGGTGGAAGTAGCAAGAGAACTAGAATGACAAGTGGAGCCTGAAGATGGGACCAAATTGTTGGAACCTCTTGATAAAACTTGAACGGATGGCGAGTTGTTTCCTAGAGATGAGCAAAGAAAGTGGTTTCTTGAGACGGAATCTGCTCCTGGTGCAGATGCCGTGAAGGCCGCTGCCATGACCCCACCTACACGTAGTTGCCAACACAGTGGCAGGATGAGGGTGCGCGGATTCCAATTACGAAAGAAGTTCTGCTGTCGCACAATGGCACAGAACAGCAATACATGCTTCAAACTGTCATGAAATTAAGACTCAGCTCATGCAGGAAATCTCACTATTATCTTATTTTAAAAAAACTGTCACAGCCTCCCCAGCCTTCAGCAACCACCACCCTGACGGGTCAGCTGCCATCGATGTCAAGGCAAGACCCTCTTTCCGCAAGAACATAACTTGCTGAAGGCTCAGGTGAGAGTTAGCATTTTTCAGCAATAAAATATTTTTAATTGAGGTATATACAATTTTTAGGCATAAGACTACTTCACAGTTAATAGACTACCGTGGAAAGTAAACAAAACTTTTATACGCACCAGAAAACCAAAAACTTCATTTGACTCGTGTTATTGTGATATTCACTTTCTTGCACTGCTCTGGACTAGAAACTGCAGTAACTCAGAGGTATGTCTGTATCTGCTTTGCCCCCAGGCTTTCTATCTCTAAAACTGTTTTAAATGCCTCACGATGCTGAACTTCCATTATGATCCCCTCTAGTCTATACACATTAAATTCAAAAACACTAAAGTCCCGTGTAACTTGGTACTCATTTCTTTTTCTTTTAAAGATTCTACTTTTAGGTAGTCTCCACACCCAATGTGGGGCTCAAACTCACAACTCCGAGATTAAAATCACACATTCTACCCACTGAGCCATCCAGCTGCCCCATACTCACTTCATTACTATCCAGGGGGCTCTGCAAACTAATCATTTAGACTACAATTAAGAGACGTTACCATTTCTATAGGAAAAGCAGCTTAACAACTTGACACATTTCCTAAACAAGAGATTATAATCTCACAAATTTGCTATATATTAACAAGAACCAATATTTCAGTTCATATCTTACAAAGGAAGCATCACATTCATTTACTGCCATAAAATACACTAAGTTAAACAGCTATTTAGTAGTTTTTTTTTGTTTGTTTGTTTGTTTGTTTGTTTTGCTATTTAGTAGTTTTTTACTTCATTATATTCCTGAAGCCATCTGATTTAATCAAAACTCCCAGAATTCCGGTTAAGACCCGTCCAGCCCCTGGAAGAGTCCCACTACTGTCAATAAGGCTTTGCCCTCTTGATGCTCTTGGGAACCCCGCAGCCATCATGTCAACAAGTTCAAGCAGCCCGCTGAAGAGTGAGAAACCGCAAGAGAGTAACGGCGGCGGTGTCCCAGTCACCAACCAGCCAGCCTCTTCTGACCCAGTAGCTGTCCCTATGAGTGAGTCCCAGCAAAACTCAGCTGAGCCCTGCTGAGCAAAGCCTGACCTGCTGATTCCACAAAGTCACAAGCTGTGTAAACGGCTGCTACCCTAAGCCACTGAGTTCTGATGTGATTGTTGCAGTGCAAAGTCTAACTGATAGAAAACTCAAAGCTTTGGGGCGCCTGGGTGGCTCCGTGGGTTAAAGCCTCTGCCTTCGGCTCAGGTCATGATCCTGGGGTCCTGGGATCGAGCCCCACATCCAGCTCTCTGCTCAGCAGGGAGCCGGCTTCCCCTCTCTCTCTGCCTGCCTCTCTGCCTACTTGTGATCTCTGTCTGTCAAATAAATAAATAAAATCTTTAAAAAAAAAAAAAAAACTCAAAGCCTTGTAGGGAAGCCAGAGTTGTATACAAGAGAACACAGAACAGCACAAGGGCGGCGATATGGACCCAAGGGTAAGAGTCATGGATGATTTAGAGGAGCCAGTGATTACCGGGCTGGGTGCAGTGTGGAGGATTACAAGACACTGTTAGGAAAAGAATCACAGAAAAGATGATGCATATTATTTTCCTTCATTCTGAGGAAAAGGACCACTTCAGGAGGTGATAGACTTACCCAACCTCTGCTTCCTCCATCGTTAATCCGAATCCCCCAGAGGGAACGCCAGAACCAAATCACCATCTGTGGGCTACTGTTTCCACTGGGAAACCACAGAGTAGTCTTCCAACCAAAAAGTCTCTCTCAGACCCCAAGGAGTTTCACTAAGACTGAAATCAGCTTCTTCTCTGAGAAAACACCAAACGGCGGATGATGCCAGTGTGTTGGAAGGGCCAGGGGACCCCGGAATGCAAGGCCACAGAGCTGGCATCTGGGGCCAGAGTTGCAGCTATGGTCAGGGTGGGGTGGAGGCCACAGAGCTTGAAGAGCTCAGGGAGGCAAGGGTGAAGACAAGGAGTGGATCCCCGTCACCACACTGGGCCCCCTGGTTAAGGACACAAAGATCAAGTCCCTGGAGGGGATCTATACCTTCTCTCTGCCCATCAGAGAATCTGAGATCACGGACTCTTTCCTGAGAGCATCCCTCAAGGATGAGGTTTTGAAGATCAGGCCTGCACGAAAGCAGACCGTGCTACCCAGCAGACCAGGTTCAAGACATTTGTTGCCATCGGGATTACAGTGGACACGTCGGGCTGGGTGTTAAGTGCTCCAAGGTGGTAACCACTACCACCCATGGGGCCATCATCCTGGCCAAGCTTTCCATGTGGCAAGCCTACCGGGGGAACGAGATCAGCCCACCCAACGCTGTCCCAGGCAAGGTGACCAGCCGCTATGGCTCTGCCCAAGGGCGCCTCACTGCGCCCCCAGAGGTATGGTTTCAGCCCCTGTGCCCAAGAAGCTCCTGATGATGGCTGGTGCTAACGACCGCTACACCTCACCCAGGGGCGGCACTGCCACACTGGGCAATTTTGCCATGGCTGTCTTCAACACCATTTCCAAGACCTACAGCTGTGTCACCCCTGACCTCTGGAAAGAGACCGTGTTCACCAAGTCTCCCTATCAGGGATTCACTGACCATCTTGTAAAGACCCACACCAGGCTCCTGCTGTGGCCACCACATACAAGAAAAATAAAGTGAACTAAAGCTTGTTTAAGGGACACCTGGGTAGCTCAGTTGGTTGAGCATCTGCCTTCAACTCAGGTCATGATCCCAGTGTCTCGTGATCAAGTCCTGCCCCAGGCTCCTTGCTCAGCGGGGAGCCTGCTTCTCCCTCTGCCCACTGCGCAGCTCTCGCGCTCTCTCTCTTTCCTCACTGGCAAATAAACAAATAAAATCTTAAAAAAAAAAAAAAAAAAGACTAAAGTCGGGCAAGACCTTGAAGATGCAGCCAAGTTGAACCGTCTGTTTAACTTAGCTACGTTCAGTTCCCTGTGATCTCCCAGAAGTCAGGCTGAGAAAATGACAATGCACTGTCACTGCAGATGGCAGGACAAGCACTCTGAGCAGGCAGATACATTGAGAGAAAGCGAATCCTTATCTAGAAAGAGGCTCCAAAACTCAAGACTGGGATGTCCTGAGCTTCTGAAACAATTCAAATGCCCAACAATACGACAGTATTTAAATACATGTTAGTGTAACTGTAATGAAGAATATAAGGAAGCTACTAAAAATATCCTTTCAAAGAGCCTTCAATGACTTGGGAAATTCTCATAAAATCAGATAAAAAATTGCGTACATATAATGATCCCTATTATGTAGAAAAATAAATCATAGGAGAAAAAAAGTAAGTTTGCCTAAATGTCTATAGTAACCTTGGGTACCAGGATCATGGGTGAATGCTTTCTTTCTTATATATTTCCACATTTTTGAAACTAAAATATAAACTCATATGCTTAAAAAATTGAATCATACAACCCAAAATTAAGAGTCTATGTAACAACTGGCCTATACTCTTCAAAAAATATCAATGTCATGAAAGAAAAGGAAAGGCTAGGAAATTGGGTTTTTTAATTTTTTTTAAGTTTTATTTAAGTAATCTCTACACCCTACAAGGGGCTCAAATTCATGACCCCAAGAATCAAGAGTTGCACATTCCTCTGACCGAGCCAGCCAGGCGCCCCTAGGAAATTATTTTAGATTAAAGTAAATTAGAAACCTAGCTCTATGGTACCATTTGTCCTCTTCCTGAAGTCTCCTATTACCTCATCTGAAATTTCCCAGTCCTATAAATTTGCCCAAGTGTATAACCATCAAGTGTACCCCTTAGGCCCTCTGCCTAGTGCTACATGAAAAGACAAAACTGGACAGGAGAATTTTCATATTAAATAGCATTGTCCATACATTGTTCATGTCCTCAAATTTTAAGATCCTGAAAGAAATGGCTATATCTTAAGTATATTCTACATTACACTTGATGTATATTTAATATTATGATCACAAAATTAAAGAAGTTTACATCTTGGAAAACCCACATCATTAAGAATTAATTCCATCTTACATATGAATAATAGTTTGTGGTATAAGTGATGGGACAGTAAACAAATGTTTTATAAGGAACTGACTAAAAAACTAAATAAATTAGTATATCATGAATGTAACTATATTATTACACAATTACTAAGAAAAGTCAAAGGACAGTATTACAACTGTTCTTAATAAAATAATTTCAATAAATATTATTGTACTTTGAGATTTGGGCAGGTTCCAACAAAATTAATGTTACTCGCAACCAAAAAAAAATACTTCCCAATAAATTATCCACAAAATAATTCAAGATACCCACTTAAATTTAGGAGAGAAAAAAAATGACATATTTTTTTTTTTACTTTGCTATGTATTCTGCCTGTGTATGTTGAATAGAACACCTAGTTGATAATTCATTTTTGAAATTTTTGGTAATCCTTTTCTTACAATACAAGTGCTATGTGTTCATTTGGATAAAAATTTTTAAATATAAATAAATTTTAAAAATCAACTCCAATTCCATCAACCAACAATGTCTTAATATTTTTTAATCTTAGACTTTTCCAGACATTTTTACCCACATATTTTTCATAACAACACTGTCACACTCTACATAGTTTGAGAACTTCTTTGTCCACTTAACAGTATAGTATTATTCTTTAGTAACAAATATTACCTCTTTCACCATCAGATTTATAGATTGCATATTAGTCTACATCAAGATATACCAAATGTGGGAGTGCCTGGGTGGCTCAGTCGTTAAGCGTCTGCCTTCAGCTTAGGTCATGATCCCAGAGTCCTGGGATCGAGTCCCAAATCAGGCTCCCTGCTCAGTGGGAAGCCTGCTTCTCCCTCTCCCAATCCCCCTGCTTGGGTTCCCTCTCTCGCTGTGTCTCTCTTTGTCAAATAAATAAATAAAATCTTAGGGAAAAAAAAAAGATATACCAAATGTTTGACATTTAGTTTGTTTCCATTTTCTTCTAACCTACACAAATTTATAAACCACTACCAACATCGTTAATTATTTTCATGGACAAGCTCTTTTTTTTTCCCTGAAGTTTTATTTAAGTCATCTCTACACCTGACATGGGGCTGGACTCACAACTCCAAGATCAAGAGTCACATGCTCTTCTGACAGAGTCAGCCAGGTGCCCCTTGTGGACAAACTTTCTTAAAGGAAGAAAGGGCTCTCACAATCGCAGAGCTGCCCCCAGCAGAAGCACTGGAACTAGGCACTGAAGGCATCTCCTCCCAGTCACTGAATGAGCACCTTCAATCAACGACACTACACGCAGAGCAGGCCACAAACACTACGGACTTATTCTTCCGGATAAAAATTACAGCATATGGCATGGCAAACCATTTTTTCTCCTCGTTTGTGATTTTTGTAAATAGGAAATCTTGTAAAAGTTTAAGATTAACTCACTATATAACTGCTATTGAATAAATTGTGCTTATAGAGAAAAATACTGTCTCATTCAAGACACGTGGTTACTATACACTAGGCATATACAGTAAATGTCAACATTCTTGAATGGAGGCAAATTTTATGTCCTTAATTAATTCATTTTATATATGAATAAAAATCATGAATGCATAACTTGCTCAATGGAAGAGACCACAGCAAATTCTCCTGGGGATTCAAAACAAAAAACCAAAAACTAAAACACAAAGTATACTATCTAACCAAAGAATATATAGATCTAGGATCACAAAATGTTAAATCTTAAAGGGGACTTAAAGGGGCACCCGAGTGGCTCAGCTGGTTAAGCGTCTGAATCTTTCTCTCAGCTCAGGTCAGGATCTCAGGGTTGCGAGATGGGCCCGGGATCAGGGCCTCCGCACCCAGCATGGAGCCTGCTGAAGATCTCCTCTCCCTCCTCCCACTGTCTCTGCTCCTCCCGCTCTGCTAAGGCACGCTCACATGCTCTCTCTCTCCCAAATAAATAGGGACTTAAAGATTATCTGACCCCCCCATCCCGAAATAAGGAAAATAAACATAAAAAAGATCTATTGGCTAGAGTCATGGTTAGTTAATTTATCCAAAAAATATTTATTAAGAAATCTAGTAGGTGCCAGGTCCCATCCGATTAGATACAAGGTTTAGCAGGACAGATACTAGCCCCCAACCGCATGGAGCATACAGGCACCGTGCATCATGACAGGCAATTAGTCTCCTGCTGAACTTTACGGCCGGATCCTCTGATTCTTATTCCCGCGCAGTTCCCCTTTGTTCATTTGTCCCAGTATTCAGCACCTACTATGTGCCAGGCTGTTGCGAGTTCTGGGAGCAGTGAACATGGTGAAGCCCTTATCCTCACACAGCTGCATTCTAATGAGGTACAGAGACAGACACATAAAAATAAGATCACGGTAAGTGCTCTGAGAATATTTAACGGTGACCTACAAAACAGAGGGTCCAGGGAGTAGGGGATACACCTTTAGCAAACGCAATCAGAGAATCCCCTCTAATACCAGACATGAAAGAGAGTAGTAGTTACATTAATAGCAATTAAGTCTACAAATCCTTTTCCTCATTTATCAATAAAATTTTCACCAGATGGCCTCAGAAGTCAGGGCATTTAACAGTAGGGCCTGTTCATTTCAAATGTTTCATTTTATCATAGTTTACTCTGTCTTTCTGACTTTGGGCTACACCAGTTGTTCTGACAGTATGCACCATGGAAAGGGAAATTCACGTCATAGAATATTCAGGAATACGCTCTTTAACCTTTACAGACTCTAATTTATCGTTTACTCAACCAATGTTGCTTATGCTCCATTTGCTCTACTTAATGCTCTCTATGACAAAAAAAAAAATAATCTCAGTTAAATGCACTAACATAATTACCAGTGGGAAAAGTTTTAATTGCAAAAGATAGCCAAGTTCTAAAGAGAAGACATATGGGATTTAAACTATAAATACACATAGATACCTGAATTATTCCAGCTGGCACATCGGACCATGTAATTAGATTACTAGATGCTCTTCCGCAGACTTAGATAATAAAAACAAAAAAATCTATTTTAAATATCCTCATGGAGACCTAAATGGAACATACATGGTCTATATCTGAAAACTGTTTCTTTCATTTAATCAGTTGAATTCTAAATTTAAGATTATTTTCCAGCATTAGGGAAGGTATGTGATATGGAGAGTGCTGTGAAATGTATAAGCCTGACGATTCACAGGCCTGTAACCCTGGGGCAAATAATACATTATATGTTAATAAAAATAATTAATTTTTTAAAAAGATTATTTTCTAGCAATCACAGGGAATAACAAGGAGCATTTGTAGTTCAACTCAACCACGCTGCGTATTTACCCCAAAGATACAAATGTAATGATCTGAAGGGGCATCTGCACCCTAATATTTATAGCAGCAATGTCCACAATAGCCCAACTATGGAAAAAGCCCAGATGTCTACTGACAGATGAACAGATAGAGAAGATGTGGTATATATCTGCAATGGAATACTACGCAGCCATCAAAAAATGAAATCTTGCCATGTTCAATGACGTGGATGGAACTAGAGGGTATTATGCTAAGTGAAATAAGTCAGAGAAAGACAATTATCACATGATCTCATTCATATGTGGAATTTAAGAAACAAAACAGAGGATCATAGGGGAAGAGAGAAAAAATAAAGCAAGATGAAACCAGAGAGAGAGA